TGGGCTGCCCGTTAGTTGAACTTGATGACGACGATCTAGGGGCTGGGCTAAGTAATATAGTATAATTAATTTTGAAAGACGCTTTTTTCTTTAGCTTTTGCAAACTCAAGCAAACTCATTTGCAAATCTAATTTCACAAAAAAAAAAAACATATATATTTTGCCAGCATGGTCCACTATAAATTTCAAAGTAAGGCGCTAATACAAATGGGACACAAAAATACAATCAAACCAATCTCAGTCCTAGCCCCTCTGCTTTTCAGTCTGGCCTCCTTCGGATTTATCATCTTTATGCTTACGCATTTCCTCAAAGAATCCGCGTGGAAATTTGCTGAATAGAATCTTGTCCAAATGCTGGGGAAAGTAGCGGGTATGGAATTTGTATGCCACATACTTGTCGGGCAAACGCGTGCTGGCGTTCTCACTATATACAAATATCACATTCTCATTGTGGTTAAGCATTTGTTGTGACTTTGTGTACAGCAAGCCGAAGAGCAAGTGTTTGTACAGCGAGCGGTAGCAATTTTCGTCCGCCTTGCCGTTATAGTACAGTAAACTGACGTTGTGATGCATCGAAATGAACGTTTCGGCGGATTTCATGCGCGTTATTAAAATGATGTGGGCCTTCGGGCGAAAGTGGGCGATCTTCGCGGCCATGCGACCTGTCAGAGAGCAAACGAATATCAGCGGAGCGTTCATTTCGTATGAAGCGCAGACCACGGAGCGCGCCAGGGAGTCGCTGCCTGTAAGCGATCGATCGCAGTATGCCACCTTACTAAGCGCCTCCTCGATCAGCAACTCGGAGATCGAGTTCTGCAGGTAGAAGAAGTGAAACGAGCTTTGTGTGTGATCACATGACATAATGTATTTGTCGGGGTAGAGAAATATGTGGCGATAGTATGCTGGTTCGACAATTAGCTGCTTGTTAGCGATCAAACTGGGTTCCAAAACAATCACTTTCTGCAGCAGATACGCACGCTTCATGAGCTCTTCAGCGGCCGGACAAAGGTGCAGTATGGCGGACTCTGGATGCTGCTGAGAAGGACTTAAGGCAATGATGAAACCATCATAGTGCTCGGCCATCCAATTGACGTCGGTGTCGCAGCCTTTTACCTCGTTGATCACAATTCGCGCATAGAGGCGTATATTCTCACATCCCAGCGTTTTCAATGCGTACTGCAAATTATCAAAGTACTCCTGTGTGCCGCCAATATACGACACAAGCACATTTATGCCCACCTCCTTGCAGAATGTAATATCCTCTAATTCCTCCTGTGAAGCTAGGAACTTGCTGCAGTGCGATGGGAAGAGCACAGGTAGCCGTGACCCGATTTCACCGCCCACTTCAACTACGCATCGCAGATTAGCGTCCTTCTTGCGGACAGATACCTGTACATCGCACCCGATGCATATGTAGTCGAAAATATTCACCTCATGGAAAAGGAAGCCCGCATTGACGTAGACGCGCTTCTTGGAGCAGTGTGTCGACCATTCGCGCTTATTGGTCAGCGTGATTTCATCACCTTTGTTAAGTATCACAACCAGGTCGGGTGGTTCCATCAAGCCAGTATACTGCAGACGTGGACTGAGTTTGGCGAAGATTGTGGACGAAATAGGGAAGCCGATTTCTTTTGAGTAGCTTAACTCACTTTCGCGCAGACGCAAAATAAGACTCTGATTTTCGACGAAAGTTCCATAGAAGAGATCGATAGCAAAGCAACGAATGCCAGCGCCTAAAAAGCAGAGAAAAAATAGTCGTAGAGCAGAAGTCAGTCTAAGAGCGGATATTTATTCACAAGGGAAAACGGAGGGGTCAAAAAACTGTGGGTAGAATAGAAAACATTTGTTAGAGGATGTGCACTGCGACCTTAGGTCCATTGTACCCTCAGAGCTCATCACAACACATCGTCCAGCCCTAATGCTCTGATGAAGCCAACCAGTTTAGAGGGCTGTAGAGAGAGAGAGTATCTGAAGTCTCCGGGCACTGCCTTCCCAAGTCTTCCTTCTCGCCACCACATCAATTTCTAAGAGGAGATGCCGCGAGGTTTCTGGTATTCTGTCGCTGTATAGACCTGTTAGCAGTCGTCTTATAAATCTCAAATTCGTCTTGTGGAGTGTGATAAGTTCTCTGGATCTTCTGGGGTTATAGCCGTATAGAAGTCCTTTCGGCTGCCGTAGTCCAGATGTGTTTTCCCAGCGTGTTCAACTTAGGTGTCATTCTTCTACTCTTAACTCTTTCCTGACAGTGCCAGGGCAGACCGCAAGTATGGGTTCTGGTCCTATATGAAGGTCGAGTGGCTGCTGCTTCTCTAGCTAGCCTGCCAGCCTCCTCGTTGCCCTGTATGCCTTTGTGGTGGGTCACATATCAGCTGTGCTTTGTGGAGTTCCCCCAGGGCGTTTCCAGTCTCGTTAAACATTCCCATACTAATCTTGAATTAATTTCATGCGAGAAGACGTCTTTTACTCTAGCTTGACTCTCGCTACGGATGACAATGTGAATTACTTCCGGGAAAAACACTGACAGCAAAAACCTCCGCCTGAAAGATACTGAAGAATTTGCCTAAAGGGAATGTTGATATTGGCCTTGGGGCCGTGTATTCTTGCTCCTAAGCCTTCGCCAGTTTTTAAGACGTCTGTGAACCACCTTTAGGAGTAGGGTCGAAAGGTGTTTTCTAAAACTATTTCGTTCGTTGTTTTCGGCCGCCGAAAGATATTTCGACTCTGTCGTCGCGCTTCGTCGGATTGGAGAATGATCTCACGGTTGACCAATGCTTACTCACACCAGAGGTGAAGTTGCAAGTCGCCAGATGATCAGCTGTCGAATCTCCATGTTGAGATCGCTGATACGGGGATTTCCAGGATCGGCCTGACAAAGGTTGTCACGCTGATCGGCAAGGACAGGCGCTTCAGCAGGAAAGTTTGGACGGGGGTCCATTATACAAACTGCTGGTACGAAGCGAGCTGCAGCGGCAGTGACAACCCTGCGGAATTTCCGTTCACCTAGGTGAACGTCGGTTGGTGTGGGGAGGGCACAGAAGGTGGTTTCAGTAAATTCTGTGAAGCCTTACCAATCAGCTTTGGTAAATTTGATATAGATAGGTACGGTGTTCCGCGGAAGCAAAGTCGGCAGGTTTATCGATCGAGATGACTATGGGCAGATAGGAGCGCACCAATTTCAGGGGATACATAAACGATAAATATTTCGAGCTCGACATCGCCTGACCGGATAGCAAGGCCCTGACATTCGATGTCTGCTTCGACGAGACGATACTGCACGGTGTGGTGCGTGATAAACGCTAGGCCTCCACCATTATCTCGCTCGCGATCTCGACGGTGCACATTGTATGCGGCGCAATTCAACAACGTTGAATTGCTGCGCAACTTCGTCTCTTGGACCACAGCTATCAATATTCCATGCCTTCCCATGAAGACGGTTATCTCCTTGATCTTTCTCTGACGCCCGTTACATTTAAATTGAAGGCGCTTTGTGTGGCTGTGTGCGTTGCTGTGATAGGTGCCTCCCCGTGGAGGTAGTGGGTGGCGCCGCAGATGGGGCTCTCGACGTGCAGCTCAACCTGGGCACTCGAAGTTCCCCGTCCAATCTCGCGTGGTGCGTAGACCGCAACATGCCCTGAAGTGGCACCAGCCAAGGCAGGTGTTGCACTTGACTGATGTCACATTACGGAATATCCTGGTCTGACACACCATGCAGATTGTAGGGGGAACTACGAGTTGTTGGCGGCGGCGTGTGGGTATTGGTGCGGTTGTATGTATCTGTTGTGGATCTGTCTATTGTGCTGTGTTGTTATGCTGTGGTGTTTGTGTTAAGCTGTTCATGCGGACTGGGGTTTGCCTTGGAGGCAGCTCCGTTGGACCAGCACGGGGCCACAAATGAAGTGGTCCACTGACGGTGTCCGTAGGCCTGAGCAGACTCTAAGGTGACTTCAAGTGCAAGCATTTCACTTGACTGAGGTGGAGTTGTGGTATAGTCGTCTCGGGCATACACAACAGGTGTAAGTTTCCTGGCCCAAGGTTTGATTCGACGCCAGCCCTGAGCAGAATAATACGTAGCAGATGTAGCCCTATGGAAGAACAACGTCTGAGATATTTCACCGACCTAAACTGGGTTAGATCGCCGAAACAACAGCCCTTGGTCGGGCAAAACCCGGTACGTAGAACCGGCTGTCGTGGGAATGCCGTTCGTTGAGTGCGAAGGCATCTGCAGAAGACGTGAGAGAAGTCGAGGCTCGATGTGGCCATAGTTTGAGCACATTCACTCCCTACTCCCGAAGCTCCCCTGAACTTTCTGAATGTTTTAGGCGTGCAATAATTGTTGTGAAGAGTAGAGGGCACGGCACATCACCATGTCTATCTAGATACTTACGCAAATATGTGTCTATAGACGCGTCGCACTCTGCATTCACCAGTTCGATGCATTTTTTGCTATCGCCAAGGGCGCTCTCTTGGCTCTCACTCATAATCTGATAGCCCTTAAAGTAACCCTGCCATACGTCCACGTCTAGTTCTTCCTCACTTTCAATAGACTTCAATAGACTTTCAATAGTTGCCTTTTCTTCTTCCTCCTCCTCCTCTGTCTCCAATAGCTTTTCTTCCGCTTCTAACTCAGCTTCGTACAAATCCTCAGACGATTGCTTCTCCGAGCTGTATTCGCGAACTCGTGTCATCCACTCGCTCTCAATTTCGTCAACGTAGTCATCAGAGCCAAGGACTTTAGTGAAAACCTTCTGATACTGAACTCGTGCCTGTAGCTCACGCACATAGTTTAATTTATCCATGTCGGCGGCCAGAAGCGTGCAACGAACATTTTCACAAATATTCGCAAAAATTTCTTCATCCATTCTGATAAAAGACGACTTTAATAACTATCCGATTTTTATGTTAAGGCGATACTTGGACTCAAAAAAAAAATATTGTTTGAAAGCTAAATTGTTTGTAGTTTTCAAAATATCTGAATTTAAACCCTTTTTCAATTATATAATTCAGCAAGATCAGTCTTTTAACGTTGAGTTAAAATCATTTAAACGAAGCCATCATGTCTCGATTGACCCTCCAGGAGTCCTTCTTCGAAAATCTATGGCCACTGATACTGAAGGCGAATGTATGTGATACTTCGAGCAAGAATACGTGTAGTTTCTATGAGCCAGATAAAACATTTGACAATATCTGGCTGCACGCGTACCTTGCGGATCGCGGTTTCAGAAGTTATCAGCCGCCAACAGTGATCCGCTGTTGTTTTGACGAGAAAGAAGAGAAGCTGGTGTTATCTGAGCCAACAGAGACAACCAGTAACACTGACTTACTTCTATCCGAGCCAAACCTCAGAGCAGAAGATGAGCACTCCCAACAAACAGAACAGGAGGAGGAGGAAGGTTTATATGCACCCAAGCCCGTAGATATTTTATTAGTAGAATGGATGGCTGTGATGAGTGGAAATTTTGATCAACGGCGAAAGCTTGCACACGCTTTCGTTAATCGACAGTATCCCTGGTATATGCAACCGCCTGAATATGATGCTCCCTTCCAGCTTGCTGACTATGTTCACCAAGAGTTCAATGGCAAACTCCAGCAGGCTGTCATAAGGGACATACATACATTCAACTGTAAGCTGATGATTATAGATTTAGCAGTGCAAGTATGCCTTCACGAGATGCATCAGTGGCTGAAATTCACTCGATTCGCTTTCATTATTGTGGTGGCGCGTAGCCAAGATGCGGTAAAGCAGATTAAATTGATGGGACAAAATTTGACCGCGGTGATGATCGAGGAAGATATTAAGCGCACTTGGCAAGAGCAACTAACAGAGTCGCTCCACGTATGCATGGCACATGCGTCTGAACTGGGACTTGTCGAATACTGCACACAATCGTTTGCATTCGTTTTCTCACGAAATCGGAATAGTTGCCGCTTAAATACGCACAGAGTGCTGAGAATGAAGGCTTAGTTAGCTTCCAAATTTTAAGGGTTAGGAGTGTTAATGAGGGTTTAAAAAGTATGTGATTTCCGCAGGATATCCAACGTTAAATAGATCTACATACAAATACAAATCCACAAGTCATTTCTTGAAAATTAAATATTTATAGTGGATACAAATTGATACATATAAGACATGTTCTAAGATAAATTTTATGTCACTTTTATGCTTAAGAAATATGCATATTATTACGTTAACCTACAAATCTAATTTTTGAGCTTTATCCGCTTTTTTCATATACTTTTAAATGTATTATACGTTTAAAAATGACTTAGCGCTTACTTGCATAAATATGATAAAATTTTGAAGAATGAAGAAATACAACGCCACAGTCTGGCGGTGTTTTTCATCTTAAGTTAGCAACAAATTCATGATGTCACGTTTGACGGCGCGCTTCTTTTCTGCCGGCATTTTCTTTAACATTGCGGAAACCAATTCACCAAATATAGCGTCTTCACACCGTTCTTCCGGATTGTTACTGCGGTTAGTCGTGTTGTTTGTACTTACACTGCCCGCAGTATTATCACTGCCCGCAGTATTATCACTGCTGCTGTCTCCTTCCCGTATTTCCACTTTGCCCTCCACCTTTTCCTCGGTTGCTTCATGGATTTGAGTACGAACGGCTTCCTCCTCGGTGGCGCCACTTCTATTGCATTGGACCTCTTGAATCTCTTTTTTTAAATGTCTAGACTCTCTTAGGATTTCATTATACTGTTGTAGATTTTCTGGTTCCTCCTGCTTTATATGCACCTCTACTTCAATTCTTTCGATTTCATTTACTTCGTTATCCTGTTGTTGTTGGTCCTGTTCATGCTCCTGCTCCTGCTCTCGCATTCGTTCCTGCCCTTCTTCCTGTAATTCATTTCGTAGTTCATTATCGTTCAATTGATGTGTTGCTTCATTGTTTGTTTCATCTTCCGAGCCGAGCGTTTCCACTTCCAGAAACACGTACTCCTCGCTGCCGCTGTCGTTTTCCAAATCTTTTTCTGTGATTACAAACTCAGGCTTTATAACATTCATCGGTAAACTTTCTTCGCTTGGCCGCTCTTCCCGCTGGGGCGGCCGCAAGTAGGGCAAGAGAAACTCCATTTCCTTCTTGTATGGAAACTGGTTAGGAGCAACCTGGCTGTCGGTTATGGCGTTACGTTTATAGTGCTCGCACAGAAAGTGCCAACGACTCTTCAAAAGTGCCTCTGTTCGAAATTATATGAAAATTAACATAATTTTTTTTTGCAGTCCGTAAAGGCAGACAGCGTAAGCTCACCTTGCATTTTCATTTGCTCTGCTATCTGTTGCCAGCCACACTTGCGTTCCGGTAAGGACACGCTGTTATTGTAGAGGAAGGGACACTGACGCACGGCCTCAATAAGACGGTGATTAAGATCCATTTCAACTTGAACGATTTGCTGAAATATGTTAAATTTTCCGCCAATACGCAATTTCCCTGATGTTTTCTCAATTTGTTTACAATTTTTGTGTACGTGACTGACAGCTCGAAATTGGAGTGAGTGAAATGAGTGCAGTGCTGCCATGGCACCTTTTAGCTGGATGAAAATTGGTGCAGCCCAGTGCCAATAAATTTACGTTATTAAGATTTTTGCTACAGCCAGAGAACGTATAGTTATGAGAAGATGCAAATCGTAAATCTGCTCTTCTTCATTATTTTCTGAAACGTTTCAACCATGGGTCGTAACAGAGAAATGCTAAATTTCATGTTACTGTGCTGCAAAGTCTGCAAACCTGCAAACTGAATGTTTATCATCTGTTAACCAAACCAGCAAGCATATGAAAACAAAAACTTGTAATTACAATTAAAAATAAATAAATTATTGAATATGCATTGAATGTGTTTTTTTTTCAGTAATTGCTCTACTTATTTAAAGATGACCAAGTTTCAGACTTTGTACTTTAAACGACGATATGTTCATTGTTTAGCGGTCTGTTCAAGTCGACTTCAGGTTTTTTGCATATATTAGAAACTTTGAATTCAAAATTTGTGAAAGTTAATGGTGATACGCTAATCACAAAGCCTAATTTTTTGCAAAAGCTCATGAGAAATTAAAATTAAATTTGAGCCAAAATATAAAAAAGGGTTTATTTGCAAAGAATATTCTTTAGAAATAGATTTTTAAATCTCAAGATTGTATTCAAAATAAGAAAATGAGAAAATAACAGTATTGCGCGTGGGTTTTATTATAAAATAAAAAGAACAATTACCATGAAGTCGTCTTTAATACTTTATATCAGAGACATAACTAAATATTATAAGAGAAAAGAATAAAAGTCAATCAATAATCATTATATTAAGATAAATATGTCTCAAAATAAGTCTCAAAGTGGAAATTATTTTAAAAATACTTCTATTATATAAGTCTTAAAATAATAGTTATCGATGACTTAAAAAAATTTCTCACACATAATTATTATCAAAGGACTTATAATTCTTGCGAATATTTTGATGACCTATTTAAAAACCCAACAAAAAAATAATTATTATTCTGGGTCTCTGCTTTATATTTTATATATTTTTAATAAAAATAGTGCGAGCTACGTAAGTAAAAAAAATACCAAGCACTGATAATGGTTTTTGATTTGAAATATTATTACATTGGTATAAATATGGGAAGGAAAATACTCCAATTTATTGTTTTAATATTATCAAAGTGGCAAGGCCGTTGACAATACTCACAATTTATGAAACTTCAAAAAATTTTATTATCCGTCAAAAGTTGTTTATTGAAACTACCTTCTTTTTTGTATCATGGTTCCCGGTATCGAAAGTGTTAAAAACTGTTCTGATTTTTTTCTTCTAAATCAAAGCGTGAAATACAAATAAATAAAAAATAAACATTTTATATTGGAAAAAAATAAAATTGTTGCAGCTTTCTTTCTTAGTGAATTTGCTTGCTTCTCGAAGCATTGATCCGAGCGTTCCGAAAACTGCTATTCAATCGCTTGTTTTGTATGGAAAAAGGTTTCACATGCAAATAGATTTTAACAATTTAGAATTTTTGTGGGAATAAATTTAAAATATTCGACATTTTCGGGACCAAATATTAAAAAAAAAAAACAAATCAAATCAGCTGCTATACTGATACTACCCGTTCAATCTACCTTGATATGTGCCAATTTTCGCGCGACCACTCTTTATGACCGGTTAGTTACAAATTAACAAAACGATATTTTCATTTCCCAATTCTAGGCGCTCATACATGTGAATTAATATAATAATAATAAGTTTTATATTTCTAGTAAGTTTTATATTTTCAGTACGAAATCTATAAAAAACTGTACTTTAAGACTGATTATTTGATGGTATTCATGGGAGAGTTTAAGTAGGTACATTTACATACATATTTTACACTTTTTAACATAAATGTGTATGCGCATATTTTGAGGTACACTTCTCAACAAACAAATTTTTTTTTAAGTTATTATGCTTGGATACAAGAGACCTCTTCTTTGAATTCAGTACTAAAACTTGACATTTTAATAGTAGTTGCGATCCCGTATGAGTCCGGACACGTGAGAAATAGTCAGAATCAGTCAGATTTTACTGGAAATCGATCCCGTACTCGGTTCTCTGACTATTGAGAGGACAAAAAAGAGAGTAAATACGGTCCTCTCTCTGTGAGAAGTTACCAGTTTTAGTCCGAGAATTTTTTGCTGGTAAATTCTGGTAAATGTGTCAAACGATCAGCTGTAGTGTGTTTGGCAACCAAATTGTAAACAAAAGAAAAGTGCACTCTGCTAATTCATGTTGAAAAGTATTTAATTACTTGTTTAAGTGGATTCTAATGAATTTGATTTTTGGTTATTTACATGTGTGAGCTGGGTATGTTTACATGCAAAATTAACAAAAATTTACAACCAAAATTTGGAGGTTATGTTGAAGTTGACAGGAGTTACCATTTTTTACTAGAAAGCGATCCCGTACTTTTCAATGTTACTCTCTCGCTCTGAGCGAATTTTTATTTTTTGACAGTTTTACTAGTCCGAGCCCGAGGAATACGGGATTGCACCTAGTATTTCAAGTGCTCATCGAAACTTTATGACACGCACATATTGACAAGATTGGCCATTTATGATAAAATTGTTAAATTTTAATTATTTGTTTATAAAAATGCAGTGGGATGCATATCGGACCCTCGTCAAAATTATCCTGCTGAAGCGGCTGTCCTAGCCGATGAGCGCAACAACCTTCGTCAGGCCGATCCCGGAAATTCCGTATCAGGTATCTCAACTTGGAGATTCGGCAACTTGTGAACGTACATAAGCGGACGAAATGGGAAGAGCATCTGAAGACCTGCAACTTCGCCTCTGGTGTGAGTAAGCTTTGGTCAACCGTGAGGTCATTGTCCAACCCCACGAAGTGTGACGACAGAGTTTTGGTGACCACGCTTCATCGGACCAGGGGCGATGCGCGAGCTATTTTAGCCGGCAGTTCATCTTGCATCCTCCGGTGAATAAAGCCAAACGTCGAGTGACCAGAAGGCTGCACAAACTACCAAAATCTTGTGCGCCTCTTGTTTTCACCAGCGGTGAGGTAAGGGTAGCCATCGGGAAAACGAAAGCCTTCAAAGCGATTGGACCCGACGGAATATGCATGATGATGCTGAAAACTTTGGGTCCTACGGGAGTAGCGCACCTAACGGAGGTCCTCAATTTGTCAATTACCCCTCTCGGCAATCCAGATATCTAGAAGATGTGGAGAGTGATCCCACA